GAAATTCTGAGTGCCTTGATATCCTGTATTTGGAATCATATTGAGGGTATTATAATCTAAACCATAATGATATCCTTATGGAATATCTATCTATCAGGCCCCTTGCTGATTTACTATTTGAAATCTCTGATTGAAAATATTAGGATCTGTATCTCTACGAATCCTTTGAACCGATGGTGTTATTTTTGAGCCGACGGTGGTATTTGGCCTGATGTACCAAAATTAACCATCTAATTCTGAATTTGCCCTAACGGCTGTTGCACATGCTGCACTAATGATCTAGGATTATATTGCATTTGATTAGTAGTAGCACCCTAAATTTGCTCAGATGAATTCTGAATTGCCTGGGCATCATCACTCTTAACTAGTGCTACTTCTTGATGGCTAGTATCGGCTTGATTAGCCCCCTGAGTCGATAGATGTGGAATATTATAATAAACCGGTCCAACCTGATCAAGTGAAAATCCATGAAACACCTCCTTCATGGTATTATGAAATGTATTCAAGAAAGCTGTATTATGATTCAGCATTGCATCATGAACAGATTTGTTGACAGCTTCTACAAAGAAACATCTATCATCAGGTTCGTCTATATCTGACTGTCCATGCATCAAAACTCTCGGCAGTGGATATTTCTGAACAACTTTATTATCACGTGTTTTGGTGTATGATAACAAGCACTTGTTTTAAAACTCCTCTATAGCCTTACCAGTGACATCTTTATCCTCATCAGGTAAGTCTTCATAAGGTACCATAAGAATGTCCTTATTGTTATGAACCGCCATAATGATTGTGGTCCCACCAGGCGTGCCAAAAAGTGTGTTGACACAAAAATGTGACGATGTGATCAACACACAGCAAGCCGGATGATATGAGTGGAATGAGACCAGAGATCTGCTTAGCTTCAACATAGAACCAGCCGATTCTGAAAATCCAATGACGAGCTAGTCAATTTGACCTGTAATTGATAAGGAGAGAAAATCTTATCAGTAATTTAAAGTAGAACATGTCGGTGTTGCACCAGACAGTTCCAAATGTACGGTTATATATCCGGCGTATCCATGAAATGAAGATCTTTAAATTAAGGATTATCGGCTAATATAAAATGATAATGATATGAATCAAAATAACCGATGCTCATGGAACATCAGAAAGCATCATCGGCTAAATAGAACATGATCGATATAAAGTGTCGACCCGATAAGTTTGATGAAAAGAGTATAACATGCGAATAAATCGACTGTCTAATATAAATGAATCTACAAACAGTTTGAATCTAATCTTTTATCATCAACAGTGAGGTTCGATCGAATCAATGCAGCTATGATAATGATAACAAACTAAAACCAAAGAATCTATAAAACATCTATATGTTGATAGATTCATGAAAACATGCTATATGCGTGAGAGTAAAGGAAAATCGGCTAAAATAGCCGATGCAGTCATAACAAACAAACATAGTACATATCTTGATAATGAACAAGACCACTAATCGATAATTTCTAATCTAAAGTCTTACTAGTGAGGTTCGACCGGATCGATTTAGCTATGGTAGTGTCATTAGATTAGATCTCATTAACTAGTGAGTTTATTCAAGATTGAAACATGTCTTTGGATGCATACTATGTTTGATTGGAATAAAGATAAAACAGCCGATCTAGCGGAAGTAAGCCATTAATTATAAGATTTAAAGCGTGACCAGGTGATATGATGTCGATCTATCTCTATCTCAATCGGGTGATTTTGTTATAATTAATAAAATATTAATTATAACAAGATCGATAACTGGTGAATCAATAGAAAAACAATAAGGAAAATCTTACAAATGTTAGCAGATTCGATAACTGATGATATTATATTAAACGACAAGTTATTTAACACAAGATCGATAACTTTGATCTATATTATGATTCGAAAGAGATCAATCAGCTGATGCAGCCTTACAAACTACCATACAGATCGATAACTAACTTATATTGTGGCTCATAAAAGATCAATCACCTGATGCAGCTTTACAAGCACAATACAAGTCGTGATGGTACTCACAAGTAAGCTGGAGGTCGATCAGTCGATGCAGCCCTGTTTCCTGAAGAACTCGTCGAGATCTACAGTACTCCTACTCCTAATGCGATGGCGAAAGCCGAAAAGATTGTATTGATTGAGTGTTCGTTTTTTTTGTACAATAACCAGGGTCTAATATTTATACCCGAAAAATAAATATGAATCCTACTCAAATACGACTCATTATAATTCTCGGAATAAAAGAAAACTTCCTAACTTAATAATTTGGACAGTAATTTAACTTATTTGTAGAGTTCGACACATCTTTCTGGCGCCATTCAAGCATAGTCCATTGACGTCGCCTGCTGACGTTATCTATATAATAGCCGATTCTGACATCGCATCTAAATCAGCTGATACCGATTCACATCTAATCGATTCCTTGATGACACAATCCTGGAAGCTTTGAGTTTCTGCATTCTTCTTCCCAAATTTTGGTGTAAACAATATCATATTATATGTTCACTGTGTAGATCGACTCATGTGGAGTCCAACAAAATTAGATTTTCCATTTTATGATTTTTCTGTGATTTACTATGATTTTTCAAAGGTTCAGCCGAAATAAATAAAAAAGAAAAAGACAAAACCGCCTTTAAAACTGTTTATAACAGGGCCAGGGAGGTAAGATGAATAGTTTTAAAAGTTGAGGGAGATGTTTTGCCCGGTTTTAGAGTTCAGGGAGGAAAAACAGACTTTCGCGAAAGTTGAGGAAAGTAATGTGGACTTTTTTCTCTTCTAAACTAGATAGGGGCCCCTGTTACGGCACACGGGCCGACGGGCATTACGTAGAGCGGGGCATCTGGAAGATGGGCTTCTGCCTCTTATTCTCGGCTAGGAACGGCCCCCCAACAGCCCAATCAAAGGGTACTCGGCCCAGATCGGTGGATCGAATGCCATTGCAACATATGAAACATATAAAATATTGGGTTGATATCCAATTATAGCAGCAGCGCCACAAGAACACCGACCACCAATTGCAGTAGCTGCAGCACCCAATTTGTTGTAAGAAATCACCTCTTAATCACTTGATCAAGAAGGGCAACAACAACGCAAAGGAAATAGTGGATATCAGCGTTTTAACGGGAAAGGAAACTGTGATCACCACAAACCTGAGTGGATTTCTGTTACTGCCCACGATCGAGCGTAATCAGATTTCTGAAGACTCGTATCCGTTGCCCCCACACAAGATTACATCACATATATCAAACAAAAGAAAGGGCGTGGCTAGCACATGGCCGCCCGGACGCTAACCCTTGTCTGGACATGCCTCCCCCATCTATTGTACCCACCCCACATGTCTGATGAGTCTAACCGCATGTTGCACCTACCGCCGCCTGCCTCGCTTGTCCCGCATGCGGCTGCAACTGTGCGGCTGCCCGCTCGTCTTCACATGGTTCTGCACATACGCACGCAAGCCCGTGCCCGTTGCTGCGTGTTTCACTTCGTTCCATGCTGCGCACCCGTGCATGTAGGTGAGGACCACCCACGCCCGTGCCCCCCGCATGCTGCTGCGCCCCTCGCTTCACTTCTTTGCTGCGCACCCGTGGACGTGCAGTTGGGAACTAGTTCTACATTTGCAACACCAGATGTACTTTTGCAACATCCAGATAAAACACATATAATATTCAGATAAAATATATCAAACATACATATGAAATGCATAAAACATACTCTGCCTACTAATGAAAACACTTGCAACATGAAGCACTTGCTGCAACATACGTCGGAAAAAGGTAAAACATTTGAAATATACGGTTGCAACATACGTGTATAGCCACCGTAAAATATGCAACATCCACATAAAACACTAGCAACATACATTTGAAACTGATGAAATGTTTGAAACATACAATTGCAACATTCTATATAGCCATTGCAACATATGAAACATACAGATAAAAACACTTGCAACATACGTCTGAAATAGATGTAACATTTGAAACAAACACTTACAACATACGTGTATAGCCACTGCAACATATGCAATATACATTTGAAACTGATGAAATATTTGAAACATACATTTGCAACATACATGTATAGCCATTGCAACAAATGAAACATAGAAATAAAAACACTTGCAACATACATCTGAAACAGATGAAACATTTAAAACATACACTTGCAACATACGTGTATAGTCAATACAACATACAGATGAAACACATACAACACCAGGTGGAACATACATCTGAAACGCATGAAAACATACGGAGCTCAATGCAATTAAGTGACGAAGAAATTTGGACCAACACTTAGCTGCCAAGGTCAACCATCATGGAAGCAGCAAACGGCGCATGCAGATGTGGGCCTGTGCTCCTCTCACAAACAGGCAAGCGTCTTGGCCGGCCCTGCAACTGGCAAATCTGGTCGACCAGGGCAGCAACGCTGCAGGCAGCATGCGGCAGGGGCAGCTTGGCTTGGGCGCAGACAACACGGAGAGAGTAAAAGAGCATGACGTCAAGCAACAGCAGCCTACCGCAATCATAAAAAAAGGAAAACATTTAGCTAAAAAATTAAGACTTTTTTGGAGCTCCTAGGTCCTTCGATTTGGATCAACAAAAACAGCTTAATTGAACTGACAATTATAGAATTCTGAGAAGAATTTAAATAATTTCGAAAGTAATATGACGCTAGATCCAAGCAAAATAGGTTGTGCTTCATTGAAAAGATTGGATTTTTCGAGGTCTCTAGGTTCTCCATTTCGGATTGACAAGAAAAGGTACAGAACTGTCGGACTAAGCAAAACGACAACTCACTTTTTTATTGGTCGTGAGTTAGAGTAGGATTCTGACCGGAGTCTGAGGTGTTGTAAATAGTAATCGAACAGGATTCAGAGGTGTTCTTTGGTATACGTAGTACATGGAACTATATTGCGCGTGGTTTGGTCGTCCGAGGCTCCGAGCAGGGCTGTGCGGGCTGTCAAGGCAACTCGATCCATGGAGATCGCAGAAGGCACAAGGAAACGAAGCCGCTCAATCGGCGGAAGCTCGGGTGGCGGCGACCTGGACCGGCTGAGCGCCCTACCGGACTGCCTCCTCCACGTCATCCTGTCCTCCCTCAGGGCCCGACAGGTGGTGCAGACGTGCGTGCTGTCCACACGCTGGAGGCACCTCTGGCGCTCCGTGCCGTGCCTGGACGTCGACATCGTCGAGTTCAGGCGCTCCGGCGGCGGCGGCGGAGGAGGCGACAGCAGCTCATCCGACTCCGACGATGACAGCTCCGACTCCGACATCGATACCGACTCCGACTCCGACTACGACTCGGGGTACAGCCGGAGCAAGGGCAAAGGGTGGGACGAATTCGAGGACTTCGCCGTCAACCTCTCATGCTCCGTTCCAACATCGCGCTGCTGGATTCCTTCAGGCTTGACATCGATCGGGGCAGGAAACCTCAGTTCAATCGCTGGTCCGATGGTGCATCACACGGCAGCTGGACATACAGCGGCCGACAAGCAGCAGCGTGGCTCCGTCGCGCCATGAAATACTGCACGCCAGGTCACGCCATCATCAATTGCCAGCGTCAGGGACTGAATCTGAGCCCCAGCTCATGGCACCTCAGAACGCTGCATCTCTGCCACGTACCTCTGGACGATCGTTTCGCGGAGCATCTCAGCTCAGTGTGCCGCTCTTTGGAGGATATGGAGCTGGACCATTGCGCCTGTGAGAACCGTTCGATCGCCTCCGACTCCCTCAAGAACCTGGTTCTGAAACATTGCACATGGGGAAGATTCTTCTCTGACATTGCATGCCCCAAATTGAAGACCTTGGTGATCAATGGTGGCTCCAATAGATACCGCCACCCGCCGCTGGCTATCTCGGCCCCCATGGTTGGCTATCTACGCCTAGATGTGGATGCTGACCGCTTCCGTGGGGGTATTTCGATAACCAAGACGATGCCATCCCTTGACAGGGCCTCGATTCATTTACGCTGCAACAAATACTGTTTATCCAAGCTTCGAAGTAGATTTGATGGGGATCAATCCGAGCTTCTTTGTAGTGTGTCTAACGCGACAAGTTTGGAGCTGTCAGGTGTTGGGACGACGGTATGCCGTATGCATGCTCTTTGGCATCTTTGTTCTCTGCAAGTGTTCCATTTTATTCGTCACTCTGATAATGTGTTGGTGCTATCTATCTACTTCCTTCAAATGTTCTCCAGGTGCTCGGTGAGGAACCCAAATCCCTGGAATTCCAGAACCTGAGGAACTTGCTGTTGGGCGACTGTGATCTCAGTGATGACTTCCGCGTATTGCGGTTCTTTCATCAGGGTTCGCCTAATCTAGAGAAGGTCACTTTGCGGCACTGCAAGGTACTACACTGTAGCTTGGTTTTTACTAGCTTCTCATATGGAACCAATGCAAACATATATAGTTCATCTTCGATCTCACATCTTATTTTGTGTTACCCACACCGATAGTTCCTAGGTGATTCTGATTCCGAGGACAATGAAGGCAAAACGCGCAAACTCAACAAGACCTCATCTTCTGATTGCTGTGGCCTGGACTTCCTACGTGATGCGAACGTCGAGCTTGAAATCATACATAAAGATGACAACGATGCCTGCTGATTTGCTGACGAGCTTGTGCTCGACCTACCACCAAATCCCAAAGGTACCACTGATGCTGTTCCTGACGATGCTACTGCTGCTACTGAAGATTCGATGCCTCATTCAACTGGAGTTGGGCCTCGTCGGGGAACTCGGCGCAAGACGACCAGCGTGCGCATCTCGGGACCTGAATGGGAACGAGCCATGTAAACTGTAAAGTGGAGTGTTTATGTTGTGTAGCAAGAGATCTACCATCACCCTTATTCCTATACTCACTTTTCTGTTCCCTGGAGAGGCCACGTCACCTTATTTTCCTACCCCTCCGACTACCATTACCCTTATTCCTACTTAGTATAATGCATGTGCTAACGCCACGGCGGCATTTTAGGGATGCACACAAAATCGACCAAACAAATTTTTGAATGGCGATACATGTTTTGTTCCTGCTTTCAAAGCCAATTTTTGAATGGACTTACATGTTTTGTTTGGTTAATTGGGTTGCTGCTGGCAACAAAGTCCATCCATGAATGAAAGGCAGACATATGCATCACATTATTTTGGTCAGTCACTACAAATAATTGAAGACATCCAAATGGCAAAAGTTCAGTTACAAGTCAAACGCTGAAATATAGATGACCACATGTGTATGATATGGTGCTTCCACATAATACATGCAACTCAGGGTAGCATCCATTCAGAACACCAGTGCAACCCAGTGCAACCAGAAGCATATTTATTTATTAATTAGTAGAATGAAGATGGTTTGATACAAAAGACTTCATCCACTCCAATGCTCCAAATCAGGATGGGGACTTAATCCTGCAACCGAACGGATGAAGTTATTAGAATGTTGAAACCACCACCGTAAAAAGAAAACGCATCCTAAAATTTTACGTAATTGCTTTCCATAGTTGCAGTTGTAACTTGTAAGGCATATTTCTTGATCGTCGCCGCCTGCTCGTCGCCATGAATTGGACAACCATATCGTTGAAACAATAAAAAAGAAGCTCACCTACACCTTGGAATTGGCAAAAAAACATCTTTCAGTCTTGAGGTTTTTTACCACTGTATTTTTAGGAGATATGGTATGTCCTGTTAATGAGACAAGTTCAATTATATGGCTATGGTTCTGAAATTTCATGCAATTGCAAAATATAGTAAAAACATGCTTACTTTATGGAAATATCAGGATAGAGACTAACTGCAGAGATTGGAGGACTTTCAGGATAGCCCATGGGCAGTGTGATCTCCAGTAAATGAATCCATCATGGTTCATCCCTGGCACGCTGACAGATAGAGCCCAAAGACAGTATTTTGCTACGCACATAATCACATAAGTCTCAGATCAATGACTCTTTAACAACATCAGCATTTAGCAAGATTTGAAAAACTCATAAGAAACTTAGATCACTGAAAACTCAGATCACTAAAGTATCAAATAATGTGAAAAAAAAACAGAATTAAACAATGAAAAATTCACCTCTCAGTTCTAGCTAAACAAGAGCCGGTATTAATGTATATCACTTTTGAATAGCACCATAACCCACTTGAAGACCTTGGAGTATCTCTGTCATATAGCCATACATGTTGCTCGTCACTGTCTCTCAAATCAAATATCATGAGCTGAAGAGAACATAAAAGCAAATATTTAGTAATCTAACTGATTATCGTGGGGATAATCCTACCATTCATATTATGGCCAGAATATCAATTTAGCAAGCTAACAAACATAAATAAAACATTAGGATGAAACAATTATGTACCATCAAATTTACATAGAAAGCCTCAGCTCAAATTTGTCAGTATAGCATTTTGAAACAGATACTACCAACTCAGATAGTTACATTATAAAAACAGAAAAATTAACCTGGCATTATAATTTTTTGACTCAAAATTCCACGTAAATACTACCAAGCATGGTATTAGGCTAGAGATGCATCTACATATTATGCGAACTACATGACCAATACATAACTTTTGAAGGAGCAATGACTTGATGAAAACAATATATCCAAGCAGGGAGGTTGACAAGGAGCAGTGGGATCTGTTGGGGCACACCTGTGAGGGATTAAATAATATATATAATGAACTTGGCAATCCAGTGGCATGAGAAAATCCAGTGGCTTCTCATGAGTCATGACAAGAAAATGGAAACAAATAGTTTAAGTGGCGCAATGGCATAAGAAGACATCCATTAAGGAAGATTTTATATCATAAAGAAATTGGTCATGCACTTCCATCTAAACGGTTGCCGCTGGGATAAGTGACATTGCAAAGGATTGCATTAACTGGCTAGGAGATGACATCGAATAAGCACAAGGAAACATGTGAAATTAGTCACCAGAGTAATGCAAAACCCACACGGCCACACCTTGTGTGGAAGCTTCATAGAAGGCTTCAATATAAGTGCAGCAACACCACACGCAGATTACCCTCTTCTTCAAGCTGCCTCAGAAATTCCTTGACCTGCACAATTTTCATCACAGGGTTAGTAATTCACATCAGGTGACCCCATTACAGTATAGCGAAAAATAAATTCAGGGCTCAAGATATCACCAACTTCCTGTTGAAGCTGCGACCTGTACTGCCGCATCCTGTGACTATCTTCCCTCTTCTTGCCACCATTGCTCTTACCTATTCCATCCTATAAAGGAGTAACCAAACAACAATCACTGCATCATTAATTAATTTACTGGGAAGAAACAATAAGCAGCAAGATTGTTGGTTGACTGCAGGGAGCCCTCAACAAGATTTGCTGGGAAGAAACCAATCCAAGAAACCAACCCAAGATTGATGGAAGAGTTCTTGCAGGGAGCAGCCGGGACGGCCCGAGGGGCAGGGGACTGCCGGCGCCGGGAGGGTCGGAGGGAGATGAGAGAGGGATTGAGGGCAATGGCAGCCCAGGCAGGGAGCCGCCGCGGCGCTGTCGAAGGCTGGACGACGCAAGCACACCGCCGGCCACGCGCTGCACACAGCAGAGGTGCGAGGAGCTAGCCGCCGTCGGGATTTCGGAGGAGCCGCCCCCGGGCAACAGAGGGTGAGATGTGGATGCCGAGCGGAGGGGCAGGGGTTGCTTGGTGGGCTAGGTCACGCCTCGTGGCACGCGCTCAACCCCGGTCACTGCGGGCTAGTTGGCCCGGCCGGCCGCCGTCTGGCCAGCGCCTAGGGCAGATCCAGGCCGCCTCGACCTCCTGGCCAAGTGAGCGTGCGAGGGGCCGGGGCGCAGGCTCCGGCTGGTCGCCTGGCAGCGCAGGCGCCGGAGGGGGAGGGGGCGAGCCAGCAGGGGCGGCACCCGCGTGAGGGTGAGGGAGGAGGGGCGCCGTCGCCCGCCGCCCGCCGCCGCCTCGGCAGAGAGAGGGAGGGGCGGTGCTATTGTTTTCTGTCCGAAAAAAACAGGTTGTGGGATCGAACCGTGGTTGCTAGGGGCGGACGTGGGTGCCTGGGCGCGGGCGTGGGAGATGGGATCGAACCGTGGTCTCATGCGACGCTCGCGAGCAGTCGCTGGGGCAAGGCACATCCAAAGAAGGAGGACGGATGGATGTGGTTGAGTAAGGAGAGCGAATGAGTGAGAATTAATTTGGTGCGTACGTTTTTAATGTCATCTTTTTCTGTATGCGTTTTATGGGGTGGACGTAGTTTAGGTCGTGACTGTAGAGGTGGGATTTATTTGGTGGCTATAGGATAATTTGAAGTGGTGTATTATAGGGGTAGAGATAGAGATACTCACTTTTCTGTTCCCTTGAGAGGCCACGTCGCCTTATTTTCCTACCCCTCCGATTCCAGCACCGCCTGACACCTTCCACAACATTCTGGCCTCATCTACCCCAGCCCCCCACGCTGCCACGGCAAAACTGGGACGCTCGAACGCACGCCGCGGCGCCGCACTGCCCTTCCTCCGCCACCGCAGCAGACGCAGCGAGCTTCTCCCTGCCTCTCTCCCTCGTATATATAGATGACTGTCCAAGGGAGAGAACAAGAAATGTATGAACTAATCAGGCCAAATTCTAGTTTAATCTGCCAGTATTCCTCGTCCCATCTCTGTTCTTCTACCTTCCTGTACTCGTAATCTCGCTCTAATTCTAGTACATAGCGACAAATGGCGAGTGTAGATTAATTGGACCATTAGATGTAGTCAGCATGTGACTTCTTAGCTTCCTCTCCTACTCTCTCGAGTTTCCTTTCCCCACGCTACAGTAGATCGTGGGCGACTCGAAGGCGACTCCGTCTCGGCGCCAGATTCGCCGGTTTCCCCTCGCCGTCGGTGTCCTTGTGGGCACCGATGTAAAGGGGAGGTGCGGATCTGGCGGCTGGTGGCTATTTCCCTTCCTATTAGGTTAGTTTTTGTTGGTTTAGGGTTGGATTTCATCCCAGTGAGGCTTTGTTTGGCTGCACACAAATCCACCCCAATCCACGTGGTTTGGGAGGGATTGTGGTCGAATTTAGTTTAAGTTCCACCTCAATCCCTGCTAAATCATGTGGATTGGTGTGGATTTGTTAAACAAGCCTTGAGGAAATCGCTGGTTTCCTTTTGCTTCCTTCCGAGCTTCTTAGGCATCGGCTTCGTCGGTGGTGTACTGGTCCCGGAGGTGTGTGTTGTGCGTGTGGAGCTTGCTGATGGTGTCATATGCAGGGATTTGGAAACCAATGATGATTTCTTTGTTGTCTTTCTATACATCAGTTTTTGAATCTTATGTGAATCTATTTGTGATGTCAGCATCCACGCGGTTTGCGTCGCCGCCAGCTTCGTCACCCATGACTTGGCTGCTGCTGCTTGGAGGAGCCTCGGTGGTTGTACCGGTGGCGATGGCAAGTCGTTTGCCGATGTTTTGATCCACCTTCTCGTTTCTCCGAGTTGGTGTACTTTGACCCCTCTTGTGGGTTTGCTGTTCGTCGTCTGGGGTTCGCCGGTGAGGCGACCGGTGTCAGATTCCGGCGACGAAGAAGAGACGGCATGTTGCCGTTTGCCGGAGCGTTCAATGGATCAAAAGCATGCTTTGTGCGTGTTACTGATGGGTCTTTTA